ACAAAGAAAGGGTTTACAGCAAGAGAGGCTTCACAACCTCAAGTGGCAGACTATTTGTGTTACTCCACGCCAAAACAAACATTTAAAAGGTTCAACGATATCAACATATCTTGCAGCTTTAGCTCTGTAATCACCATGAGAACGGGTGTCAAATTGACAAGATCTCCAGAGTTACTGGCCTTACTAATGAGCTTCCGATTGGAGGACCAAAGCGGAAGTTCCACTTCCAGCTTGGGATCTGAATGTAGTGTTACAACACCTCACGAAAGTGAGGTCTATGAATAACAGGAATCGACAAACTTTGAATTTCTCTCACAGAAAACATTGTTTCTGCTATCGCTAGCCACAGCAGCAAGAATGTCTGAAATTCAGCTCTGGATTACTGTAGAGGATACAGTTTGATGACAATCATAACACAGCACCCTCGGATTAAGATGGGATTTCATTGCAAAGAATCAACTGCCAGGTCAACCAGACAGATTATTCCACATCCCGGGCTATCCTCTATTCTCGGATCACAAGATACACAAGACCTATCACTGTGTCCGTAAGAGCTCAAAGTTTATTCTGACGATCCAAAACAAGGAGAAGATTTCTCAAGCGTTTATTCATCCCATTATAAGCCCACGAATCAAACAGAAGTGTCACGGACCTACAATATCTATTTGGATAAGGACTGTCATTCTCCTCCTGCCTACAAGGCAGCAGGCTTGGACCCACCAACAGCATCAAATCCACATGAGATCAGGGCACTGGCCTCTACCCCTACACCTACACGGTAACTGTTCCTTGAACACGACATGGAAGGATGCTATTGGAAATCTAACATGGTATTTGCTAATCACTACCTAAGAGACATCACTACAGAAGATGTCTCTGGCATTCCTCATTTCGGACCACTGGTCCTCGCTCAGCAACTGACAGTCCCTCGTGAGGCGTTAAAATATTAGCCTCACAAGATTAATATGTATTTTATACATACTCATCTAGCTTATAACTCTAAGGAGTTTTAGGGCTATATATATGTTCAGCTTAAGTATTCTACCTTAAGCATATACTTGGATATAGTCAATTTCAGTGCCTCTATCAGAGTCACCTATATATATATATATATAATTTATATGTATTGTTCAATATATTCATAATGTAATTCCCTTTAATGGCTTTATATAACCTATGGTTTTCTTTTATACAGGATACATCCTAAATCTAAGACTTCATGAAGTTCCGTGAGGGGGATATTACAGTATATCTATACAAAATCACTAATTATAAATCCAAAGTATTCTGTTACCCACCTCCGTTCAGTTAGGATGCTACAAACAAAAGAGCATGAGTCAGGATAAGGAAAAATATGTAAATTTTAGAGTAAAATTGATATTTTATACTTTATCCTGACTCATGAGGTTAGCCCTCCCATCCTCCCCACATAACACTTTGGATTTCCCTGTAAATTCAAGTGTTGGGCTCGCTAAATCAGGAGAGAGTGGAGCACATGGCCAGAGGGTGGCGACACCTTTTCCCGCCAGGGGAGACAAAGGGGAGCAACTCGTGGTGAGTACCAATTAGTGATTTTATTTTGAAGGGAGCTTCAAATAAGGAGATACAAGTGTTCCACTATGTTCGTAAGAAGAAGAAGACAAGCAAAAGAGCATGAGTCAGGATAAGTATAAAATATCAATTTTACTCTAAAAATTACATGTTTGTTTCGTGAAATCGGGGCCTGGACCTAGCATCACCTTCCAAGGACACAGACAAAGCGTTTACATACAAGATGTCCAACGATGATTTCGACACCTCACCTTTCCTCCTATCGACCTGATCTCCCCAGTACCAGACAGTCTCAGCTCAGCCTTTGATATGGCTACCAAGTTCCAGAATCAGCATATCCCGACGTTCAACGCCAGGAAATTTCCCTTACATCACATGGAACCCTTCCTGAAGATCACCAGAGATTGATGAGCACTACAGCATCATCAACGACTTCTGCTATAGAACTTACAAGATAGAAGACAAGAAGCTAGCGCAACTGGATACAACTAGACGTACCTTCTTCGGACTAGCCAGGTCTAGGGCTATAAACGAAGCACTCATCTCGAAGTTCAAGAACTCCACCGCCGAAGACGACCGGATGATATATTCTGCGCTACTGAAAAAGGACCACCAATTCATGTCGGAGCATCTAGCATCCACATCAGCGGGCCTGACTCTCCTGAGGATCGTGCACCTGGAGTGAGCGGTTCACCAACTCCTTATACAGAGCCCCATGGTCAGCATCATCCATCTTCGGAGGAGGCATTGAAGAAGTCGCCGAAGAGGTTACACACGAATCGAGGGAGGTCATGATGATAAAGTCCATAGATACCTTGGCAAATGTGATTCGCCAGACGTCCCAGCGCTACTCCAACAAGTCCAAGTTTGCAGGAGTCCAGAGAGACAGATAAAAGAGGTTCTATTCGTCGCCAAACCGTAGCCCCCAGAAGTAACCCCAGAAGAGGCTGAGCACCCAGGGGTGCCAGGGGAACCAAGCACTGAAGGACAGGTTTGGAAGGACTGGAGTCTTCCACCCCTAGCCATTCCTGTACAACCTTTGACAATGGGTGGACGTCTTCAAAGGTACTGGGAGAATTGGGGAATACTACAGGATGACTACGTATCCCAGATACTACGCAGAAGGTACAAGATACAGTTAGAAGCCACCCCGCTGCTTACAAGCAACCCGCTGGCCTTCAACTACGCAGCTGACCAGACAGAGAAACTGGACGACGCAATCAAGACTTTACTCAACAAAGATGCTGTAGAAGAGATAAATCAAGATCTCATCATGCCCTGTTTTTACTCCCCAATTTTCCAGGTACCGAAGAATAATTCTAAGGAGAAGTTTCGGCTCATCTACAACATGAGGAAATTCGACCAGGAGTATCTCTGCAAACCAGCAAAATTCAAGATGGTACATTTTCCTCAGCTCCGACATCTCGTTCGTCCAGCAGACTACCTCGCCAGCATAGATCTGCAAGATGCGTACCTCCACATCGTGATACATCCAGACTCAAGGAAATACCTAAGATTCCTTTTCAACGGACATCACTTCCAGTGGAAGGTTCTACCGTTTGGAATATCTTCGGCCCCCTGGTTGTTTACTCGAGTGACCAAGTCCATCGTCACATATCTACATCGTCGAGGTCTACGCACTGCTTTTTACCTGGACGACGGAATTCAAGTGCAAGATCCCAGTCAACTCAGACAGCAACTAGACTTCACCATCAGGCTTCTCACTCAGTTAGGATGGCTGGTAAATCTCAAGTCCGAACTGGAGCTGAAACAGGATCTTCAATTTCTAGGAATACGACTCATCACGCCGGTGAATCGCATAGTCGTCCCAGAGGATCGTTAGGTCATGATACAACATATGATATCTCAAGCAATGCTCTCTCCGTTGACACTACGTGCTTGGCAAAGCATGCTCGGTCTACTCAACTCAGGTCAAGACGAAAATTCAAGCGCCTATTCATCCCCTTATCCACTGAGACGCGGAGTCTCACGGACAACGATATCGATTTGGACTAAGGGCCTACAAAGCAGCAGGACTTGAGCCTCCAAGAGCCTCCAATCCCCACGAAAACGGAGCCCTGCCTTCTACACTTGCTCTGCATGGAAATGGCTCGATTACAACAATAATGGAGGGCTGCTTTTGGAAATCGGACACGGTGTTTGCCAACCACTACCTCAGAGACATTGCCACTGAAGACGTCTCAGGCATTCACCAGTTTGGGCCACTTGTTGTAGCACAACAACTAATGGTTCTACAAAGGCGCTGACAAAAATTTCACGCTTTTATCACGTGACTTGTGAAAACCAACGCTCTGGAGAGCAAATGGTGAAAGTCCATGCACATGTCTAGGACAGGCTAGCATGAGTGATAGACCCTGTACTTGTATAGGACATACTCGTACATGAAGAAGGGTCACATCTCCACTTGATGCATGCATCAAGAGATGGAGTTGCAATAGATAACTAATGGACTCCGACTCATCAGATGGAAGTTGGAAGAACAGAATCATCAACAGTGCCGTCATAAGTTCCTATGGGGGGTAATACAGGACGTAAATCAATAACCAGTGAATCCAGAAGTGGCCTGACCCACCACAGATTCCAACGGATTCTGCAAGCATTTAGCATGGGTCAGGATAAGGAAAAATATGTAATTTTCTGACTAAAATTGATATTTTATACTTATCCTGACTCATGACGTCAGCCCTCCCAACCTCCCCTCTCATGGCACTCTGGATTTCCCTGTAAATCCGGGTGTCGGGCATTCATACGGAGAGAGTGACAAAACATGGCTGGTCATTTGACGAAAAGGGCGCCAAAGGGGCAAGGGAGGCCACTCGTGGGTGAGTGAGTTTACGTCCGCTTTTTAGAAGGGAACTTCTAGGGATTTCAAGTGTTCCACTATCATTTGCAAGAAGAAGGAGACAAGCATTTAGCATGAGTCAGGATAAGTATAAATTATCAATTTTAGTCAGAAAATTACATTATTTTCTAGTTATTAAACCAAGTTTGTAATGAACTGAATAACAGCAGTTCAGGTAGATCATGCAATTCTGGAAGGGGTTACTGACTAAAGAAGTGAAATGTGTATAGTTAAGTCAGTCATTAAATCTGTCTCTGTTTTACTGTTGAGAGGAGCTACAGATTTGAGTTCTACAGGTTGTTCATTAAACTAGTTTTGTTCCAACAAAGTTTTGTTTGAAGGACATCTGTTACTCCAAAACAAAAGAGACCTCAGACAGACTTTTGCTTTCATAGGCAAAACGTTTCATTCGAGATCCAACACATCACATTAATGCACATTTCAGAAGTGTGACAGAATGGTTGCTATATGCTTTGAAAGAAATTTAATCTGTTCCACTAGTTGTCTATCTGTTTCTGTGCCTCTTGTTGTCAAACTGTTACTCAAGGTTATCAGGAATATGACCAGAGTGGTCTTGTTTTTGTAGGTCTCTTCTACTTCCTGGGATCCATCGTGAACTTCAGCCAGGATGCTGATGTTCACTTTAAATACATCCAGGCTGCCTGTAAGACTGGGCAGATCAAAGAAGTGGAGAGAATCTGTAGGGAGAGCAACTGCTATGACCCTGAGCGGGTCAAAAACTTCCTCAAGGTAAGACTGAATACTTGGTGAGAGAAGCTTTATGATGTTGATACCTCAACCAGTCATACATTGGTAGAGCTCACTGAAAACTCAAACATTTTAGCATGACATGCCTAACAGAAGCAAGCCTGTATGATAACATTTCCTCTTCTTGGATATGGTAGTGATGGTGAACTAAGTTGTTCCCATGGTTTCTAATTCTGAACAATTCTTTATGACGAGTCAAGGTTTATAGAACCCGTACTGACCTGGAAATAATTTTCAGATGTCTGTCATTTAAACCCTGTGTAGTCCAAAGAGAATCGGGAAAGCTAGTTGCTGACCTATTACTGTTGTTTCCAGGAGGCCAAGCTGACTGATCAACTGCCACTGATCATTGTGTGTGACAGGTTCGACTTTGTACATGACCTGGTTCTCTACCTGTACAGAAACAGCTTACAGAAGTATATTGAAATCTATGTACAGAAGGTGAGTCTTGTGGTGACATGCGACACCAACTTGTCTTGATGCATGTCGTCTTATGCCAATCATGTAGAACAGTGCTCATGATGTCTGTTTCTGGATTTTCTGGTTCCAACTCAAGTATTAATGACCAATATCATATGGCAGGAATAGTGCGTTGTGTAACATTAAACAACAAACAAAATGTAGGCCAGTTCTCACTGTGTTGGATGTCCGAAGGATGTTTGAGTAATTGAGGTTTCAATATGTATTCAATCTTTTACTGATTTTACCTTAAGTATGACAAGATATGCAGATAAATAGCTCCATTCTGAGAAATCTGGAATTTTTAATTTGTTCAGATGCATTATGACGTGAAAGTTGCGACACTGTGATGTCTGTCTCCAGGTGAACCCTGCCCGTCTCCCTGTTGTTGTGGGAGGTCTTCTCGATGTAGACTGTGGGGAGGATGTAATCAAACAACTCATCATGGTGGTCAAGGGACAGTTCTCCACTGATGAACTGGTGGCTGAAGTAGAAAACAGAAACAGGTACAGCTTGTCCTTGGAGAATCACCAATAGGAAAAAAGAATATGGCCTGAGCATTTCTTGATCAAAGAATTCTAAAAGAAATGCTTTCGCTGATAATAAGGTAGACCCACATGGGGATTCCGCATTGGAATAGGTGCCCAGTAACAAATCATTGGACTGGACTGAATGATATGAGACACAGTGACAGTGTCGATTGTGTTACTGCATCAACCTATAAACAATTCAGGAAGAAGTTTGCATGCTGCTTATTGATTGTGTCATTAGGGATCCTAAAGACTGCTAGCAGTTGTGTGTGATTCTGAAGATTCAAACTGTTCAAATACTTTTGTGTAAGAGAAATATGTTTGTTACTTTTTATTTCCCCCCTCCCCTGGCATGTAATGCGGGGGATATAGTCGACGTCTTGTCTTGTCCTTAATCATTTTGTTTCCAGAGCATGACTCAAAAAACGTTCAATATCTCAACAAAATTTGGTAGGTTTATCAAACAGATCCTTCAGTGGTGCCTCTTGCTATTTGCAGATTTTTGGCATTTTTATTTTTCACGGTTTCCATGGAAACGATTCAGACGTAGTCCCAAAAGGGAGGGGTGGGCTTCTTGTCTGGAGCACAACTGGAAAACTTCTTAATATCTTTCAGCAAAACTTGGCAGATATGTGAGGCAGATCCCAAAGTGGTGCCTTTTGCTATTTGCAGATTTTTGTGATTTATTATTTTCTCAGTTTCCAAGGAAATGATTCGGACTTAGTTTTTAAAAAAAAACATAAAAAAAGTCAAGCTGGACTTAAGTAACTGTCAGATGATTTGTTTTTTCAAATATGTGGGGGCCGGGGGGGATATGTCATCTTTTGATGACTCTTGTTGTGATATGAGGTTTCTGGTTATGACTGGCTGCTGATCTGCTGTGTTCTCCTTCAGATTGAAGTTGCTGTTGCCATGGCTGGAGACAAGAGTACACGAAGGAGTGAACGAACCAGCTACACATAATGCTCTAGCTAAAATCTACATTGATAGCAATAACAACCCAGAGAGGTTCCTCAGGTATGTGTACTCATGGCTTACGTGTAAGAGACTTCTTGTCATAGTAAATCCTAATCCAAGGTAATCATAGGCAGGCCTACCAAAGAAACTTTCCCACTGTGCAGAAAAACGCAGAAAAGCCCACATTAATCGTGGAAATAGCAACATAAAAATAATACCTCGCTACTGAAACAGTGAAAACGGTAACTTTAAATCGCTAACACTGCATCATAAAATGAGGAGCCCGCAACTTCGATTTTGCGCATGCGCACATGGAAGAGGAAGTCTCGACTGCATGTTGACATTTTCCAGCATGGACAAAAGTTACATTCCTTTTTAAGTGTTTCTGTTGTGTAATTTGGCATATATCATCATGATACTTGTGTGCACACTTGTTTAGTTTACTTTCCATTCATATGAAACAATTGACAGCAATTATTTCGACATATTTAATATTTTTTTTACGCGAGGCGATTCACGGTTGCTCGGAAATTGGAAAGAAGCCCGGATCGTAATGCGCATGCGCAGTAGAGGTCAAAGCTCGCTGATAACTATGAAACTATGAAAATGTTGCAGTTTCATAGTTTTTCGTTGCAGTTTTTACTGTTTCAGTAGCGAGGTAATGTGTTTATGTTGCTATTTCCACGATTAATGTGGGCTTTTCTGCGGTTTTTCTGCACAGTGGGAAAGTTTTCTTTGGTAGGCCTGATAGGTAAGACTTTCCCTTGTAGTTTTCAGTAGCTGCCATATTTGGAGAAGTTAGTAAGTATTTAATTGATTGCCCAGGGATTTACAGGAAGCAAATTCCTGTGTCCTATACACATAAAAATTGACAGTGGACGCAACTAAATTTATTAGCTCATCCACAGGGCCGCTGAAAAAGTCCAAATATGTTGTGTAAAAATTCCAATCAAGTAATATAAGTTATCACTCAGTTAGCAACTAGCTGGGTTATGGCATCATTTGCAGTTTAATTACTGTAACAATGGGATATCATGATACACAATACAATAGCAGTATTAATAATAATATTAAAGTGTAGTCCAGGACCCCTGAAAATTAGAGTATGAGTCCCAAGCACCCTTAAATACAGGACTCGAGGTAAATCCCTCCATTCCAATACAGAATAATCTATGCAAGTGTATTTTGTGTCTTCTGGTGTTATGCATATTTGATGCTCACATCCATCTTTTGTGAATGTAAAACTGTTTAAAAAATATTGATGAGAAGTAATTTAATTGGATTTTAAGACAGTACATTGATGTCACTTTGGTGATCCATTGTAATGATAGTGATGTTGACTTACAGAGAGAACCAGTTCTACGACAGTGTTGTCGTTGGAAAGTACTGTGAGAAGAGAGATCCTCACTTGGCCTGTGTTGCATATGAGAGAGGACAGTGTGACCAGGAACTCATCAAGGTATTTATTTCATTGCTGAATTTAACTGGGAATGATACATCCAGATGACCAGGCTTCCTGTGTAAAGTTTCACACATAAAAGGACCTTCATGTCTTTTTTTGAATTAATGATAAAAAACAATAGCTTACAAAAACTTGTGTGTTCTGAGCATTTCAGAGATAAATTTGTTCATGGTAATATTTGAAATGTGAGTTCTGACTATATTTTTAAAATGTCATTCACCTCTTTTAGTTATCTGTAATTCTAATTGAGTTTGTCTAATAAGCTAGCTGACAAAAGTGGATATGATCAGATCAAAATCTGCAAATGATATAAACTTCTTTAGACATGCACTAACAAGATGTGTATTTTCTAGGTGTGCAACGAGAACTCACTGTTCAAGAGTGAGGCAAGATACCTAGTTAGGCGAAAGGATGTTGAGCTGTGGGCTGAGGTACTCCAGGAGACCAATGAGTACCGGCGCCAGCTCATTGACCAGGTGGTGCAGACTGCACTGTCTGAGACTCAGGACCCAGAGGAGATCTCCATCACTGTCAAGGCCTTCATGACCGCTGACCTGCCCAATGAACTCATTGAACTACTGGAGAAGATCGTGCTGGAGAGCTCCGTGTTCAGTGACCACAGGTAGATGCCTGCATCTATTTGTTAAAAATAGACAAGTCCTTGTCCTAACACTAATGTTTAGGAGAAAAATAGTGGGATTAGATACAAATACAGTGTGAGCAAGCCTCAAGGAACCAGGGACCTTCCATAAACAAACACTACTCTGTCGGTTGGTTGGTTGGTTGGTTGGTTGGTTGGTTAGGTGAGCCAAATTGAAAAAAAAATATTCAGTCATTCAACAGGACCAATTTGGATTACCCACATCAGTAGTATGTGAAATCCAGCCATGAGATTTGTGAGAACTTTGTCCTGACATTTGCCATTTTGGGGATGTATGCTCCTATGCTGAATTTATACCACTGATATAAAGGAAACATTTATGACAGATTTGTTAAATACCTTTCCAAGTAACCTCAGCGTTGTTATATTTACACTGACATCATATTAAGTGAAGCCTTTTCTCTATGAAGTTTCTTATATTCCATCCCTTGATACAATTGCAAAAAAGTTTGCCCTGTGTAGTATGTACATTCTAAGGCTGGTACATGCATAATAAATGACAGGTGGATACTTTGCTGAAGCAGCATATCAGCATGTTAAACATTACCTTCTGTAATCTCTGATTTTAAGGAACCTACAAAACTTGCTGATTCTGACCGCAATCAAAGCTGACCGTACTCGTGTGATGGAGTACATCAACCGTCTCGATAACTATGATGCACCAGACATTGCCAATATCGCCATAAGTAATGAACTATATGAAGAAGCTTTCGCCATTTTCAAGAAGTTTGAAGTCAACACATCAGCCATCTCTGTAAGTTGTCTCCCCTTTGTACAAACATTTGTATAGGGGCATGGGTAGCCAGGTCTTCCAAATAGCTGCAGTTTGCTGTGTCAGATTGCTTCTCTGGTGTGCCAGATTCCTATGATAATAGGTTTGAATCCAATATTTCCACTGATGTTTCTGCATGTGTCATCACCATACCCATGCTGGTGTGTTTCACTTACGTGATAAATATCTGAAACCTGTATGAACTCCAGCCTTCCTCCCATTTGAAGCTGACTCACTGTAATATAGCTGTGTACTTTTAGAACCAGACTCAATTTCTAGACAACTTAAACTGTTTAAACAGTGATGTAACTAATTTCATGTCTGAATCAATAAAAAGATGTTTCGTTATAACTAAATATCTTGGTTAACTTCTTGTTTCAAAGCTTTTGTTCCTTCTGTGTTGACAAGAGAATTTAGAACTGTATATCTATTTACAGGTTTTGATAGACAACGTGAACAACCTTGACCGGGCATATGAATTTGCTGAGCGCTGTAACGACCCAGCCGTGTGGAGCCAACTGGGTCGTGCCCAACTGACCAAAGGCATGGTGAAGGAAGCCATTGACTCCTTCATCAAGGCTGATGACCCCTCACAATACATGGAGGTGGTGCAGGTGGCCGGTCAGAGCAGTAAGTGACACTTTACATCTGTTCAAAACCTTAGGGCATTGAGATACTGAGTCGTCGGCTATGCAGAGCTATGTCCCTTTGGAGTGGTAGTTTCCTGTGATCCTTGGTTGAATTCCCTGATTTTGCCTGATGATAATTTCCTAACCTTGTATGTTGGTTTTACCATGATGGTAAACATCTTTGAGGTGTCTTCTTATGCTTTCTTCTTACATTTATCTGACATGCTATTGACTGTTCAAGTGCTCCAGCAAACTTATTCACACACACATTCACTTGATGCACTTTTTTTACAAATTTCCTTTGTGTAATTTTTTGAGAATATGTTTTGGTGTGCTTATTCTACTTTAATATGTTGGTGTCATGCTATGTCAGTATTCCAGCGAATATATGACGTTTTGATTGGTTTTCAGACAACTGGGAAGACCTGGTTAAATTCCTTCAAATGGCCCGCAAGAAGGCCAGAGAAACATACGTAGAAACAGAGCTAGTGTATGCTTTCGCCAAGACCAACAGGTTTGCAGACATGGAAGAGTTCATCTCTGGACCCAACCATGCTAATGTCACTCAGGTAAGAAAATAATATCAAAATACATCATTAACAAGAGCCCAGTTATGGTGACTCAGCATTCCCAAACTATGCCAGCCCTTCTTTGGTAACAGTTCTGATGGCAATGCAAGATCAGCTTGTATTGGATCGTATATTTAGACCAAACTGTACTGGAAATAATGCCAAAATACAAGTTCATCCTGAGAGATTTACTGTTTCCTTAAGCATTCTCTGTTGTGATCCTTGGTCTGAATGTGCCAAGTCATCCATCTTGCAGTTCTTGCAGATTGATTTTTGATGTTTGAAGAGAACTGAATTGCATTGAATCCTTCTGTTTGTAGGTGGCAGACCGATGCTTTGATGACAAGATGTATGAAGCTGCTAAATTATTATACAACAACGTGTCCAACTATGCCCGATTGGCTATCACTCTTGTCCACTTGGGAGAATACCAGGGTGCTGTTGATGGGGCCAGGAAAGCCAACAGCACAAAAACATGGAAGGAGGTTGGTTAACACTCACTTGTTTCTCGAAGTTTACCCAAAAGCGTTAGGTAAAACAGTTGCCCCAAACGCCAAAGTCATTGTTCAAAATTGAGGACAAATGTCAAGGGACATTGCTCAGAGTAATGTTAATCTTCATAATTGTGTGGGTTCATGTGGTTGAAATATAGTAGCCATTATCTTTGAGTATCTCACAATATATTGCATTTTGCAGGTTTATGTACATAGTAGTAATGGAAGATTTATGTTGCACTCACATAGTTCACCCCATGAATTGTAATCAATCCCAGGTTGTAGATCGACTTAGTTTTTGACATTTCCAGCTCTGACAGACATTATCAGTTCTTTCATGTTTACTGGTAATACATGAATAAATGTTTCATGTTACTGTTTTTCAGGTGTGCTTTGCATGTGTAGACAATGAAGAGTTTAGGTTAGCTCAGATGTGTGGACTGCACATAGTCGTACATGCAGATGAATTAGAAGAACTTATCAACTATTACCAAGACAGAGGATACTTTGAAGAACTTATTTCCCTCTTAGAGGCAGCTTTAGGTAAGTCCTTGCTGTTCACTGTTCTTGACCCCTGTGGGCATGCCACATTAGAAAAAGTCAAAAGGTGACTCCTTGGTTCAAATGGTCTAAGCTCATGAGATCAATCTCTGAAGTGTTTAGACCAGACATGATTACCTGCATGTCACCATCATAGAGCTGCAATAATGATTAGTATTAGATTAAACTAACAAGGTTATTGGCCTTACTGTATCAGTTGATGTAGATCCATTGAGATTGAAAAAATAGGTTCCCAGTACAATTTATGTGTTATGACCACCAACTGAAATGCGGATTTGGGGGCGGTGGGGTAGCCTAGTGGTTAAAGCGTCTGCTCATCATGCTGAAGACCCGGGTTCGATTCCCCACATGGGTACAATGTGTGAAGCCCATTTCTGGTGTCCCCCTGTGATATTTCTTGAATATTGCTAAAAGTGGTGTAAAACCATATTCAGTCAGTGAAATGCGGATTGGGTGCTTTTGTCTTGGGTGGTGTCCCACCTGAATGTGTTTCAGTGTACTCCTACAAGATGGATCGTAGCTCACTGGATGTAGTGAACAAGTAGACTGTTTGGCCAGCCGGTTGTGATGTACCTGGATTGATAAACCCAAAGCCTTAAACAATATTCACTCACTCATGCTTTGTCCAGTCCCTTGTTCAATTCATAAACCTTCCAATCTTAAGTTTAATCTGGGTGAAATAGTAGTTTAAATCTTGGAAAGTGTTGTCAGGGTATGTGTTTGTGTTTGCAGGTTTGGAGAGAGCACACATGGGTATGTTCACAGAGTTAGCAATATTGTATTCCAAGTATAAGCCTGAGAAGATGAGAGAACATCTAGAGCTCTTCTGGTCCAGGGTCAACATTCCAAAGGTGAGGATGCTTTATCATGACAACAGTGAAAGTTAATGAGAAATGGGGAAAGCTATTAAGCTTTATGACATACAAATATAGAAGAATGTGTTGTTGTACAGTACAGTATGTCCTGTCGGTAAAACAATATTTCATCATTAATCGTACTGGAATGTGGAACAATGTTAATCTGTACCCTGTTTTTTTAGAAACCATACTTTCGAATGATTTTGTTGGCTAAGACTAAATGTGATTGAAGCTATATTGGTGTGAATTCTAATTTCCTTAATGTGGAAAATATTCATTCTAATATGAATATTCTGGGAACAAAACTATGCATGTTGACAGGGTATCAAAATCATGTTATAGCAATTCCCACTTATTTCACCATTAATTATGAAATTAAAGAAGTTGAGTAGATCCAGCAGTAACATTGAAATATAGGACTCCATTGTATGGTATTGTATTTATGTATGGTATGTGGTGTTGATTGCAGGTTTTGTGAGCAGCCGAGCAGGCTCATTTGTGGTCCGAATTGGTGTTCCTGTATGACAAGTATGAAGAGTTTGACAATGCAATCCTAACAATGATGGCCCATCCTACAGAAGCCTGGAGAGAAAGTCAGTTCAAGGATATTGTCACCAAAGTTGCAAACATAGAGCTGTATTACAAAGCTATTCAGTTCTACCTGGACTATAAACCAATGTTGCTTAATGACCTGCTTCTGGTTCTAACGCCCAGACTCGACCACACTCGCTCGGTCAACTTCTTCACCAAGGCTAACCAGATCCCCCTCGTCAAGCCTTACCTGCGGTCTGTTCAGAAGAACAACAACAAGGCCATTAACGAGGCTCTTAACAACCTGTTCATTGAGGAGGAGGACTACCAGGGACTTCGGGCATCTATTGATGCATATGAAAACTTTGACAACATCTCCCTGGCCCAGCGTCTAGAGAAGCATGAGTTGATTGAATTCAGGAGAATAGCAGCCTACTTGTACAAAGGCAACAACAGGTGGAAGCAGTCGGTTGATCTTTGCAAAAAGGATAAACTATTCAAGGTAAGGTATCACATTATACATAAATGTAGGGAAGGCATGGCAACCTTGCTCATTTAAACACAGTTCATGAGGGTGTAAGTCGAAATTTATGCTGCTTTTAGCAATATGCCAGCATTATCACGGCAGGGGACACAAGAAATGGGCTTGACACATTGCTTCTTGTGGGGAATCGAACCTGGTTCTTCGTCGTGACGAGTGAAACCTCTAACCACTAAGCTACCTCACTACCTCTCTAGTTCCTTGAGGATTTGTTGGAAGAGTGGGTCTCACACATTTTGTTTTTCCCTGACTAGGGACTACAGAGATACTCCAAGATTACATAAAATTCTTGCTAGTGACCTTAAGTACATTCAAGGGGATTGATCAGAAGGTTGAGGTATGTGACTGCAGACCAGGTACTGTTTCCAGAAAGGGTTTCTGTCTGGCATCACATGCAAAACAGTTGCTTGCTTGCACCCTATGTTTTAAGGGCAGGTCCAGTTGAAACAATGCCCAGTTCAGGCCAATTGTTGACACAAAGACCAACTTTCACATCTAACTGTTTGCCATTGTTTCCTTGATAAGGGATGGTTGCAATGTAGGACCTTTTGGGACATCAGGACCTGATCTGACAGACTGTAATCTTCATATACTTGACTATATATGTTGACAATGTATATTGACTTGTGTAAATGTGACTTGGTGACCAACCTGTTCTCTTGTTTCAGGATGCCATGATGTACGCCGGAGAATCACGACAAGTGGATATTGCAGAGGACCTGATCGCCTGGTTCCTGGAGAGTCAAAACAACGAGTGCTTTGCTGCATGTCTGTTCCAGTGCTACGACCTACTGCGGCCTGACGTCATCCTGGAGCTTGCTTGGCGACACAACATCATGGACTTCGCCATGCCTTACATGATTCAGGTCATGAGAGAATACATCGGCAAGGTGGGTCTGCATACTGACTTTTACACACTACACGACTCCAGCAATGCAATCTCAACTACACTCAGTACTTCTCTGCATTTCTTCAAGTCTGAACATTTTGTTTTAAGTTTCCTGAAATCATGCAAATATTTAGGCGATTGTTTCTAATCTCACATGATTCAGTCCTGAGCTACTCTGTTTGGTGAACCATGAGACCATGATCGACTGTTATTCCACAAATCCCCTCTTCTTGTGGTTTCTTTGGGAACTTTTGCATGTATACACTCAAAAGAACAATGCTTAATTATAACATCAATTACGCTCTGAGCAGATTCAAGCTTAAGAATGTCCTGTTTGCAAATTGTTTTGTCCCTCTTTTGATTTTCATATGAAAGAAAGTGTTGGTTATTCTTCATACTTGACTTATGATCATCAAAGCAAGTTGAGATTGGATTGCATTCTGTTCTGCATAGTTTATCTGAAAGTTACGAAAATGACCGTGAAATAAGCTAGGTGTCATTCAGCGTAAGTACCCCCTGTTTACGATGTTGAAGTTGCTCCCTGCTTTCAGGTCAACAGTCTAGTTGTGAAGGTAAGAAGTTGTTTCAGCTCAAGGCTCTGCTGTCTAGTGCAGTTTTATCTGTCACCTATTTTGGACGGGCTGAACATTGTATTTAATTCTTGTGAAGGACGTCACATCTTTTTCAGTCTCCGGGCGAAGAGTACTAGGGTATCCCAAAGTCCTCCGCTGGTGGTAGTAGGGATCCTTGACACACCCCATGCATTTTCACTGTCCCTGTTTGCGACTTTAATTTTTAGTCGATTGGAATGAGTGTGCTTTTTTTTAAGTTGAATTTGAGTTAACTTAAGTGTGCATTTATTCTCCTTTGTTGCCACAGCTGAAATGCACACAGCTTGAGTGACATAACGATGGTGACAGTTTTGCATGGGGTGTTGAAAGGGATTTTTCTTTTATCTGATCAACAATACTGTTAAAATAATATTTGGTCATAGTCTAGGATTTGCCTTAAGTCCTTTTGAACACCTTTTCATCTTTTAGTGTGCCTCTTTTGCACTGGGTTTATTTCAGATCCTTTTCCAAATTTAATTATTTATAAAGAATGTTTGACTGAATCCAATCGTTTTGCAGAAATTGCTTTTCCCTATTTTCTTAACAGTCTGAAATTGTTTATTTGTTAAATAGCCTAACGCTCCCGTCTCCAGAAATGAAAGAGAATATTAAACAAAACTGCAAAGCTTATCCATTAGGCACTGTGTCATCCTAATATACTTACACCAACTCTTGCTTCACCACATTTCAAAGTCTGTGCAGTGTAATTGGTTTTGCAACACATTTGAAGTTTGGTTGACATACAAATTTAGGAATGGATTGACACTTTTTGCTGAATACTGCTAATACTTTCTAACAAAACATTTGTGTATTTTTCACATTTGGAACCACATCCATATTTGAGATGAAGCATAGCATCATTTCATTTTTCTGTGACATAACAATTACAGTTTTACCAGATCAGTTTCAATAAGCTTTCTTAAGACCTCTGATTATTGCCTGTTAGTAATACTATCTAATGCTGTAACTAACAAAGGTTTGATAATAAATGCAGACAAATGCTGCTCTATAGAAGAACACAATTTGCTTTTAATACAACTAATAAAAGAAATCTTTTTCTGACCAGTTATTGAAGGCAAGCCTCTTGGATGTAAGGCATATTCAAGTCAGTTTGAATTTGTTGCTTTCTTTCCATTTTGTGGAAAGGAACTTTTCCAGTAACTTTTAGTCAGTAGTACCCTTGAGTATGCTTGTCTTCAGGGAATTCCACTTGTTTCTTTTGACCCCAGCCGAGCCCAGTGCAAACCAACCAATCTGAATATGGACTGACTGACTCCTATATAAACTCCTCCTCCCATTATCGCAGGGCTAAAAATCAGCACTGAGTACAATTAGCCATGTCCAAATAACCGAAACCTGTTTTCTTTGTAGGTTTATTGGTCTTGTTTGATTTACTAGAAGCTCAGAGTTTTGTGTTATCACTAATAGGTGTAGACTTTCCTTGTTAAATTCTACCCCAGCACTGCAGTTGGAACATGTAGATACTGTGCCAGGGCTGTCTTCCTTGTGTGTAGGGCAGAGACCAAAGAAGGATAAATGTGGGATATTTGGGGAGCAGTTCTAAAGTTTGATTTCAGATAGTATTCCTTCAGTTTTGAGATACCTCCTCCTACTTACCCTAGCTACTTCATGTGAAGGATGACATCTTTAAAGAGATTTTCAGAAAGGTTTACAGATCATTGTACCACTGCATTATTGTTTATACAGAGATGCAATGCACATTTTGAGTAAATGTATGGTTAGATTTTATCTGAAACCCCCTTGAAAACATGATTTCGATGGTGAACTTACGTACATGTTCACATCCTAGTCTGTCTCACAGTCCCTGAACCCCATTCACTACTGCCTAGCCCTCTCTGCAAAGCTTAAGCCCTAAGCGAAGCAAGTCTAGATTTCCTCAGGTTGAGGGCTCCTTTTGAATTTAAATGTGTTTGTTTGAAACTTTGTTACTATCAAAATTATATGTATTCAGAGACTAAGTGTTTGTCTAGTTCACATCCCCACTCCCCAACTTCAGGAATGAGAGTTTTATCTGACATCAGTCTGTTGAACTGCTCCCTGTTAATGATGTGTGTGTCCCAGTATGTGTGCCATGCAGGCTTGTGATGTGTGTGTGACATCTGTGTTCTGTTTTTCAGGTGGACAAGTTGGAGCAGTCGGAGGCTGTGAGGAGTGAGGAGGAACAGAAGGCTGAAGAAAGGCCCATTGTCTTCTGTGAGTAATCTCCCCTGTCCCCCTTCTTAGCATTACAGTAACAAAAGTCAACATGTTCCTAGACCAGTAAATCATGGTGTTGGTAGAGTCGCTCCTGATCTGGCTGAATTTGTGTCACAGTGCTTGACATTGTTGATTGTAGTTAAGTCTACCACATACTGTTTTGTCAGGACTAAACTTTATTATGTACGGAATGTTGCAATGCAGTTGCAGTATTGCTGTCGGTGACGTAAAACAAAAGCACACACCAACAGTTTCCATGGTAACCTGGTAGTTTTGCTCACACAGACATCCACCCAATTCCATTCCATGTATCTTGGAACCACACATTGAATCAGGGAAATTTCCGGTTAGTTACCAATATATGTGTCACAAGAATCAGCCAAAATGGATTGGTTGTCAGGTTTTGTGACAGATTGACTGTGTATTAGACATGTATCATTACTCAATCATGCTTGTATTTCAGTCGCTGGCTTGTCAGGGTCTACATACACAAAGCAATCATAGCACAGAGACTAATTAAAGGCTGTTAAATGTATAAGTGTTATGATGGCCTTTGGGCTAAGGTCTCTTTGGAAGCAGGCCCTGGTTCTTTGTTGATATGATGTGAATGGAATATTGCATGTTGGAGCAACTTTCTCTCTACAATCAAACGTAATCCCACTGACAATACCAGGTTCTGTCTAAAACCCTGCTTTCCTCCTCTTCCAGCTGAACCTCAGTTGATGTTGACAGCCGGCCCCGGAGTTGTCCCCCCTGGGGTTGTTCCTCCCCAGCCTGGCTATGGTGGTGCATATGGTGCAGGACCAATGCCAACAGGAATGCCGTTCGGCTACAGCATGTAGACAGCCAGTCAGCCCTCATCACTGCCTGTCTGACAGTCTGGCCTAGTCCCTGGACCACACCATTCACTCATGAGTCGAGCAGTGTAATATAAGCTCCCACCTGCCTGCACTTGTGTCATTTGGCTGTATCGCCACCCATCCTCGCGACAGGGAGGCGGCAGCGTTAGAATCATGTGATTACTGGCTTGCTAGCATAAGTCATAACTGAATCAGAACTCAACTGGTGTAATAATATGAAATTTTAATCCCTTGTATACATAACATATTCACATTCCTTTATGAAATACAGATGTTTGCAAATTTTCTTTTTTTTTATCTTGACTGTTTATTTGGAGCCTTGGCTCTTCGTGTGAGCTGCGTAAAGATACTCTTTCCTGACCTGAATCACTCTTGGAAACCATTAGTATTTATTGTTACATCTTGATGATGGTCATAGCTGTTTCCGATTTCATTCAAGCATATTGGCACACGTCAGGGTTCTAGACAAATACTGGGTAGTATTGAAGTTAGATGTTGATCTATTCGTGTGTGTCCTTGTTAACTGAACTGCCTCGTATTGTATGGTTGGAACAGTCAATCACTGAGTGTCTGCCGAGTGCGAGCCAAGTTACAACTTCAAGTAGTGCCATGAGCCATATAACATATGGGCATAAGTATGTACGTGTTAGTCACTCTGTGCAATTAGAATACTGTCTCCTCCTGCCTGCTCGGGAGAAGCATGCAGCTATATGAATTAGAAGCAAATGTCTAGCATTCAGTTTCCATGGTGTAAAGCGGCGACCGACTGTGACACCGGCTCCTACCCGGAGTCCATGTCGTCACAGAGATAGTAGGCTATGTATATTGTGCATGTAACTATAGAATTGAAACATATGTAAGTAATCGGCTTTGTTGAGTACTAAACTGTGCAGAGCTTCAAGCGATGCAATTTGTGAACTGTGAATGCATCGGGCTGTATTTCTTATTTACAGGTCCTTTGTTATGCGTTTGTTTGGTTGGTTATGTTGTTTCTTTGCAATGTACAAAATCTAAATAATTCTGATTTTTAACTAGCCACGTGATCAAGGTACATAACAGTTATATTCATGTCATTATTATTACATGTTACCAATGTGTATTATTATTAATATTATTGAAAATGGGTTTATTATATTATTAGGCAAATCATGTTGAACCCTACTTTGGAAGGGTAGAGATGAAAATAGTGTAACATCCATTCTCCTATAGACCTGCGTCCTGTTATCAAACATGAAGCTGAATTAATTCAAAAGTCGGACATCATCTAGGGGTTACTACCCTAGAAAATGTTGTAGATGTACCAGATACACGTCATCAATAAATAATGTATAAATATAAATAGCTCTTCTGTTGTTTTCTGCCTTTGAGCACAAGAAGGAAAATAGTTGAATTCAAACTGTAAAAGAACGTGGCCTCCATAGTGACACTTAAACTGTTGGTGTAAACGGCTTCACATATCTCCAAAGATTGTAGACAACCTTCCTTCAACAATCATCCCAAACCACTCGGACTATTTCAGAATGAACATTGAATGACTTCATAATTGGTTCATAATAAGTTGTAATTTGTTGCTCAACACAAAGCATTAACGCAGGCATAGGATGGTGGCCTGGAAATAATCAAGTGCTATGAACAAACTACTATTCTGAAGGTGGAAATTTATGGATGTCAACTTTTGTGATAGAACACATTTCACACTATATTCTTACTTGTTCATCAGATGAGTAATCATATACTCCAAAAGATTGTGTTCCTTATATTATGGATGTCAACTTCTGTGAAATGAGGAACACGATGTCAGAAAAACTTTATATGTCAAGTCAGACATGATAGGAAACCCTCATATATATATATAGATAAGACATTGTTTGGTATCCTGTATTTACAGCTTAACCAAATGTCCTGCAATATAAACTAATAAAACTATAGTAAATTACTATAATATGGCTTTGGGGAAATAAGTTGTTCACTGGCCTGAAAGAAAAGACATGGGCCTCAATAAAAATTCTTTGATTAATCTCTGGGAAGGGAATATTTATCTTGAGTAATGTACTATAATGAACCACTTAGTGCTGTCGGGATTTTGTGTACAAGGGGAGGTAACCCAGTCCGGATTATCTGAAGGTGCAAATGAACACGCGCTTCCATCAACATATGCATAGGCAAGCACTCTGTTTTGTCGCGAAAGGGTTTGTACTGGAATGCTGGTAGGGGTGGGAGGGGGTCGACAATGTTTGCCACTGACATTATGATTTGTTGTTTTATGTAATGCCCAAACTACAGACACATCGGGCAGGTTCTACACCAATGTGTCTGTATTCCTATAGTGACTCGCCTATGTATATTTATCCATATATTAATATGTCGAACACCGCCATATAGCTGGAATATTGCTGAGTGCGGCGTAAAACTCAACTCACTCACTATATATCGAACTGTATTGAATTTCACTGTACACACATTTCTGAAGATCCGTTAAAACATTGCAAGAAAAAAACACTTTAAAATTATTTTCAAAACCAACAAAGCTTTATAAAGAGTGTGAGTGAGTGAGTTAGTTTTACGCCACTTTTAGCAATATTTCAGCTATATCACGGCGGTGGACTCCAAAGATGGGCTTCACACATTGTACCCATGTGGGGAATCGAACCTAGGTCTTCGGCGTGACGAGCGTACGCTTTAACCACTTGGCTACCCCGCCGCCGCCTTCATAAAGAGACAGTATGCCGCTTACTTCTAACCACACAAGTCATATCAGTGTACACAGCTGGTACCAATAAAGTAGACTGACATATTACATAGCATGCATAGCCACTCGCGCTCATAAGCCTAGAGATCAGTATTTGGTTGATTAGTCGCTCTTTTCACGAAAAAGTCGCAAAATCTAGTTCACATTTAAATATTGGCGTCCGAGTACCGGATAAGCGCTTCATGGCATCCAGCATACTGCAGCTCGCTATCCAGGATGCCTCTTGATAGGGACTTAATGGTGTGCGCAAAGTGCGCAAAATCGAAATCGAGAAAACATCATTTGATCACCCGATCTTGTCGACGTTCACGACACGCATGAGGTACTTGGAACGTAATCTCAGCCGCTCCCATCCCTCATATCCACCCCCCATATCCCCATCCTCATTGGTCTGTATCAAATGTTATGGATGAAGCGCAGTAGATTAGTTTAGCAAAGGCTGACATGTACCGGAATACTTGACGTATATATTTAACTTTGAGTGTATGTTACATGAGTGCAACAATAACATGTCAGGGTCGTCATCGTCATTATCATCCTAGACATGAAACACATCATCATCATCATCATCATCATCATCATCACCGGGGGTGTTGTTAATGCACGCCATCGTATCCCAATTACGTTGATCGATGCGCATTATGTCAAATCACTGGATTGTCTCGCCCAGATTCGATTTTAAAGACTGCATCATGCGGCGTTAAACAACATGGAAACAAATCATCACCGCTGAAGCTACTGAGAATTAATCCCAGGCGACCATATCATCCACTCGACAACAGGAGAACATTTTATGTCTGCACGAGACAAACAAGTCCAACCCGGGAACAAAGGGCGGTGAGACCTCTTAATTTGTGAATCAATAAACACATCTCCCAACACCGGCATGAATATTCATAAAGGAATCATCACAGGGAGCAGGTTAGTGTCTGTATACACACAGATGCGGCGACAGGTGGGTGTAGTCCCTGTCGGCCACCTCCGTCAATAATTGTCTCCATTAGTCTTGGTATAAGCACAGTTGTAACTGGTTTCCCATTGTCGTTGCACATACACAGAGTGTCGTCATAAACTTACTACACGGAGAGCGTCTGAAATTAGGACTATCTTAACACACATGGTACTGATTATCATAACTCGTGGTCACTTAAACAGTAAACGTTGAACAACTGATCTACCTTGGACCTTTTGCTGTCCAAGTGAGTGTCACTGCGGGAACACCAGACATGGGTTTTACACATTGTACCCATGTGGGGAATCGAACCCGGGTCTTGGGCGTGATGAGGGAACGCTTTAAACACTAGTCTATCCAATTTAAAAAAAGAGGTACAATAGAATCAGATATGTACGTTGGTGACTGCTGATGGGTGAAGGAAGCCAGACCCCCCCCCCCCCCTCTCTCTCTCTTTCTCTCTCTATCTATCTATCTATCTATCTCTCTCTCTCTCCAGCAAGGTTCCCCGTCCATTACCAACTGCTTTGTGCCCATCACGTTCCGTCACCCCACCCTACACACCTCCCTGTAGTATTCCAGCCACCTTACATCCAGAGTTCCTACCACAATATTTAGACAGACTAAGATGCACCAAGACACCCAACCCTACTGAAACTCCAGCACTCTCCACCCGTTACATCCTTGCCCCGTGTTGATGGAAACAGGGTAGATTACCCCACAACCCTACAGTCCATTCACTGACCCATGTCACTTCTAAACTGTAGCCGGGTTTAATCATGAGGCTGAATATCGTCAGTGTCCCTTTACAGGATCAGCTATTGCTGTGTGTATCCACAGCGAACACCACTCTACACTTTAAGCCGTGCTTGTATCAAGATACGACGGACCGACTTGGTATTCATAACCATCGTTTGGTCTCCCGACAATGTAGGGTCATTGCCTTTAGGGACCCGGCGTTGAAACCTCAGACGGTCTTAAGTACGTTTATCGTATAATAAGAGCGTTCCAAAGCCCTGCCATAGACGGCACTCAGGAACATATACTGTTATTGAAAGGGAGGTCAAAGACGGGCAAGCAAATACATGACTCAGTTTTGTCCTTGTGTCTGGTTCAATAAGAGATCGTGTCTGGTCAGATTCATTCCCGGCACATAAACTCTGTGCATTGTCCGATGAGTGAGTGACAGAGTGTGGTTTTACGCCGCTTTTAGCAATATGCCAACAACATGACGACGGGGGACACCAGAAATTGGCTTCACACATTCTACCCATGAGGGGA